ACGGATTTTATATTCTCGTTTTACAACAATTGAAAAAGTATATTAAACTTCGCATGCCGGAAATCGAACCTGGGCCGCCTGGGTGAATGTCAGGAAGCCTAACCACTAGACCACATGGAATTCCTGTTTGACAACAAGGTTCCGCAATTGTTAGAATGTCAAAAACCACATTTCAAAAGTAAAATTAAGCAGTTAAATTGCATAAAACATCTTCCAAAATTTTTACTGATTTTATATTCTCGTACGACAACAATTGAAAAAGTATATTAAACTTCCCACGCCGGGAATCGAACCCGGGCCGCCTGGGTGAAAGCCAGGAATCCTAACCACTAGACCACATGGGATTGCTGTACAACAACAAGGTTCCGCAATAGATAAAATTTCAAAAACCCCATTCAAAACGTAAAATTAAGCAGTTAAATTTCATAAAACATCTTCCAAAATGTTTTACGGATTTTATATATCTCGTTTTACAACAATTGAAAAAGTATATTAAACTTCCCATGCCGGGAATCGAACCCGGGCCGCCTGGGTGAAAGCCAGGAATCCTAACCACTAGACCACATGGGATTGCTGTTTGTCAACAAGGTTCCGCAATTGATAGAATTTCAAAAACCACATTCAAAACGTAAAATTAAGCAGTTAAATTGCATAAAACATCTTCCAAAATTTTTTACGGATTTTATATTCTCGTATGACAACAATTGAAAAAGTATATTAAACTTCCCACGCCGGGAATCGAACCCGGGCCGCCTGGGTGAAAGCCAGGAATCCTAACCACTAGACCACATGGGATTGCTGTATTGTCAACAAGGTTCCGCAATTGATAAAAATTTCAAAAACCCCATTCAAAACGTAAAATTAAGCAGTTAAATTGCATAAAACATCTTCCAAAATGTTTTACGGATTTTATATTCTCGTTTGACAACAATTGAAAAAGTATATTAAACTTCCCATGCCGGGAATCGAACCCGGGCCGCCTGGGTGAAAGCCAGGAATCCTAACCACTAGACCACATGGGATTGCTGCATGATAACAAGGTTAAAATTGTTAGAATTTCAAAAACCCATTCAAAACGTAAAATGAAGCAGTTAAATTTCATAAAACATCTTCCAAAATGTTTTATGGATTTTATATTCTCGTTTTACAACAATTGAAAAAAGTATATTAAACTTCGCATGCCGGAAATCAACCCCGGGCCGCCTGGGTGAATGTCAGGAAGCCTAACCACTAGACCACATGGAATTCCTGTTTGACAACAAGGTTCCGCAATTGTTAGAATGTCAAAAACCACATTTCAAAAAGTAAAATTAAGCAGTTAAATTGCATAAAACATCTTCCAAAATTTTTACTGATTTTATATTCTCGTACGACAACAATTGAAAAAGTATATTAAACTTCCCACGCCGGGAATCGAACCCGGGCCGCCTGGGTGAAAGCCAGGAATCCTAACCACTAGACCACATGGGATTGCTGTATTGCAACAAGGTTCCGCAATAGATAAAATTTCAAAAACCACAGTCAAAATGTAAAATTAAGCAGTTAAATAGCATAAATCATCTTCCAAAATGTTTTACGGATTTTATATACTCGTTTGACAACAATTGAAAAAGTATATTAAACTTCCCATGCCGGAAATCGAACCCGGGCCGCCTAGGTGAGAGCCAGAAATCCTAACAACTAGACCACATGGGATTGCTGCATGATAAAAAGGTTCTGCAATTGTTAGAATTTCAAAAACCCCATTCAAAACGTAAAATGAAGCAGTTAAATTTCATAAATCATCTTCCAAAATGTTTTACGGATTTTATATTCTCGTTTGACAACAATTGAAAAAGTATATTAAACTTCCCAGCCGGGAATCGAACCCGGGCCGCCTGGGTGAAGCCAGAAATCCTAACCACTAGACCACATGGGATTGCTGCATGATAAAAGGTTCTGCAATTGTTAGAATTTCAAAAACCCCATTCAAAACGTAAAATGAAGCAGTTAAATTTCATAAAACATCTTCCAAAATGTTTTACGGATTTTATATTCTCGTTTTACAACAATTGAAAAAGTATATTAAACTTCGCATGCCGGAAATCGAACCTGGGCCGCCTGGGTGAATGTCAGGAAGCCTAACCACTAGACCACATGGAATTGCTGTTTGACAACAAGGTTCCGCAATTGTTAGAATGTCAAAAACCACATTTCAAAAAGTAAAATTAAGCAGTTAAATTGCATAAAACATCTTCCAAAATTTTTTACTGATTTTATATTCTCGTACGACAACAATTGAAAAAGTATATTAAACTTCCCACGCCGGGAATCGAACCCGGGCCGCCTGGGTGAAAGCCAGGAATCCTAACCACTAGACCACATGGGATTGCTGTATTGCAACAAGGTTCCGCAATAGATAAAATTTCAAAAACCACAGTCAAAACGTAAAATTAAGCAGTTAAATAGCATAAATCATCTTCCAAAATGTTTTACGGATTTTATATACTCGTTTGACAACAATTGAAAAAGTATATTAAACTTCCCACGCCGGGAATCGAACCCGGGCCGCCTGGGTGAAAGCCAGGAATCCCGACCACTAGACCACATGGGATTGCTGGTTGTCAACAAGGTTCCGCAATTGATAGAATTTCAAAAACCCCATTCAAAACGTAAAATTAAGCAGTTAAATTGCATAAAACATCTTCCAAAATCTTTTTACGGATTTTAAATTCTCGTATGACAACAATTGAAAAAGTATATTAAACTTCCCACGCCGGGAATCGAACCTGGGCCGCCTGGGTGAAAGCCAGGAATCCTAACCACTAGACCACATGGGATTGCTGTATTGTCAACAAGGTTCCGCAATTGATAAAAAATTCAAAAACCACATTCAAAACGTAAAATTAAGCAGTTAAATTTCATAAAACATCTTCCAAAATGTTTTACGGATTTTATATACTCGTTTGACAACAATTGAAAAAGTATATTAAACTTCCCATGCCGGGAATCGAACCCGGGCCGCCTGGGTGAGAGCCAGAAATCCTAACCACTAGACCACATGGGATTGCTGCATGATAAAAAGGTTCTGCAATTGTTAGAATTTCAAAAACCCCATTCAAAACGTAAAATGAAGCAGTTAAATTTCATAAAACATCTTCCAAAATGTTTTACGGATTTTATATTCTCGTTTTACAACAATTGAAAAAAAGTATATTAAACTTCGCATGCCGGAAATCGAACCTGGGCCGCCTGGGTGAATGTCAGGAAGCCTAACCACTAGACCACATGGAATTCCTGTTTGACAACAAGGTTCCGCAATTGTTAGAATGTCAAAAACCACATTTCAAAAAGTAAAATTAAGCAGTTAAATTGCATAAAACATCTTCCAAAATTATTTACTGATTTTATATTCTCGTACGACAACAATTGAAAAAGTATATTAAACTTCCCACGCCGGGAATCGAACCCGGGCCGCCTGGGTGAAAGCCAGGAATCCTAACCACTAGACCACATGGGATTGCTGTATTGCAACAAGGTTCCGCAATTGATAAAATTTCAAAAACCCCATTCAAAACGTAAAATTAAGCAGTTAAATTTCATAAAACATCTTCCAAAATGTTTTACGGATTTTATATTCTCGTTTGACAACAATTGAAAAAGTATATTAAACTTCCCATGCCGGGAATCGAACCCGGGCCGCCTGGGTGAAAGCCAGGAATCCTAACCACTAGACCACATGGGAATTGCTGCATGACAACAAGGTTCCGCAATTGTTAAATTTCAAAAACCACATTCAAAACGTAAAATTAAGCAGTTAAATTGCATAAAACATCTTCCAAAATTTTTTACGGATTTTATATTCTCGTACGACAACAATAAAAGTATATTAAACTTCCCACGCCGGGAATCGAACCCGGGCCGCCTGGGTGAAAGCCAGGAATCCTAACCACTAGACCACATGGGATTGCTGTATGTCAACAAGGTTCAGCAATTGATAAAATTTCAAAAACCCCATTCAAAACGTAAAATGAAGCAGTTAAATTTCATAAAACATCTTCCAAAATGTTTTACGGATTTTATATTCTCGTTTTACAACAATTGAAAAAGTATATTAAACTTCGCATGCCGGAAATCGAACCTGGGCCGCCTGGGTGAATGTCAGGAAGCCTAAACACTAGACCACATGGAATTCCTGTTTGACAACAAGGTTCCGCAATTGTTAGAATGTCAAAAACCACATTTCAAAAAGTAAAATTAAGCAGTTAAATTGCATAAAACATCTTCCAAAATTTTTTACTGATTTTATATTCTCGTACGACAACAATTGAAAAAGTATATTAAACTTCCCACGCCGGGAATCGAACCCGGGCCGCCGCGGGTGAAAGCCAGGAATCCTAACCACTAGACCACATGGGATTGCTGTATTGCAACAAGGTTCCGCAATAGATAAAATTTCAAAAACCACATTCAAAACGTAAAATTAAGCAGTTAAATAGCATAAATCATCTTCCAAAATGTTTTACGGATTTTATATACTCGTTTGACAACAATTGAAAAAGTATATTAAACTTCCCACGCCGGGAATCGAACCCGGGCCGCCTGGGTGAAAGCCAGGAATCCCGACCACTAGACCACATGGGATTGCTGGTTGTCAACAAGGTTCCGCAATTGATAGAATTTCAAAAACCCCATTCAAAACGTAAAATTAAGCAGTTAAATTGCATAAAACATCTTCCAAATCTTTTTACGGATTTTAAATTCTCGTATGACAACAATTGAAAAAGTATATTAAACTTCCCACGCCGGGAATCGAACCCGGGCCGCCTGGGTGAAAGCCAGGAATCCTAACCACTAGACCACATGGGATTGCTGTATGTCAACAAGGTTCTGCAATTGATAAAATTTCAAAAACCCCATTCAAAACGTAAAATGAAGCAGTTAAATTTCATAAAACATCTTCCAAAATGTTTTACGGATTTTATATTCTCGTTTTACAACAATTGAAAAAGTATATTAAACTTCGCATGCCAGAAATCGAACCTGGGCCGCCTGGGTGAATGTCAGGAAGCCTAAACACTAGACCACATGGAATTCCTGTTTGACAACAAGGTTCCGCAATTGTTAGAATGTCAAAAACCACATTTCAAAAAGTAAAATTAAGCAGTTAAATTGCATAAAACATCTTCCAAAATTTTTTACTGATTTTATATTCTCGTACGACAACAATTGAAAAAGTATATTAAACTTCCCACGCCGGGAATCGAACCCGGGCCGCCTGGGTGAAAGCCAGGAATCCTAACCACTAGACCACATGGGATTGCTGTATTGCAACAAGGTTCCGCAATAGATAAAATTTCAAAAACCACATTCTACGTAAAATTAAGCAGTTAAATAGCATAAATCATCTTCCAAAATGTTTTACGGATTTTATATACTCGTTTGACAACAATTGAAAAAGTATATTAAACTTCCCATGCCGGGAATCGAACCCGGGCCGCCTGGGTGAAAGCCAGGAAAATCCTAACCACTAGACCACATGGGATTGCTGCATGATAAAAGGTTCTGCAATTGTTAGAATTTCAAAAACCCCATTCAAAACGTAAAATGAAGCAGTTAAATTTCATAAAACATCTTCCAAAATGTTTTACGGATTTTATATTCTCGTTTTACAACAATTGAAAAAGTATATTAAACTTCGCATGCCGGGAATCAAAAAGTCAGGAAGCCTAAACTAGACCACATGGAATTCCTGTTTGACAACAAGGTTCCGCAATTGTTAGAATGTCAAAAACCACATTTCAAAAAGTAAAATTAAGCAGTTAAATTGCATAAAACATCTTCCAAAATTTTTACTGATATATATTCTCGTACGACAACAATTGAAAAAGTATATTAAACTTCCCACGCCGGGAATCGAACCCGGGCCGCCTGGGTGAAAGCCAGGAATCCTAACCACTAGACCACATGGGATTGCTGTATTGTCAACAAGGTTCCGCAATTGATAAAATTTCAAAAACCACATTCAAAACGTAAAATTAAGCAGTTAAATTGCATAAAACATCTTCCAAAATGTTTTACGGATTTTATATACTCGTTTGACAACAATTGAAAAAGTATATTAAACTTCCCATGCCGGGAATCGAACCCGGGCCGCCTGGGTGAAAGCCAGGAATCCTAACCACTAGACCACATGGGATTGCTGCATGTCAACAAGTTTAAGCAATTGATAAAATTTCAAAAACCGCATTCAAAACGTAAAATGAAGCAGTTAAATTTCATAAAACATCTTCCAAAATGTTTTACGGATTTTATATTCTCGTTTTACAACAATTGAAAAAGTATATTAAACTTCGCATGCCAGAATCGAACCTGGGCCGCCTGGGTGAATGTCAGGAAGCCTAAACACTAGACCACATGGAATTCCTGTTTGACAACAAGGTTCCGCAATTGTTAGAATGTCAAAAACCACATTTCAAAAAGTAAAATTAAGCAGTTAAATTGCATAAAACATCTTCCAAAATTTTTTACTGATTTTATATTCTCGTACGACAACAATTGAAAAAGTATATTAAACTTCCCACGCCGGGAATCGAACCCGGGCCGCCTGGGTGAAAGCCAGGAATCCTAACCACTAGACCACATGGGATTGCTGTATTGCAACAAGGTTCCGCAATAGATAAAATTTCAAAAACCACATTCAAAACGTAAAATTAAGCAGTTAAATAGCATAAATCATCTTCCAAAATGTTTTACGGATTTTATATACTCGTTTGACAACAATTGAAAAAGTATATTAAACTTCCCACGCCGGGAATCGAACCCGGGCCGCCTGGGTGAAAGCCAGGAATCCCGACCACTAGACCACATGGGATTGCTGGTTGTCAACAAGGTTCCGCAATTGATAGAATTTCAAAAACCCCATTCAAAACGTAAAATTAAGCAGTTAAATTGCATAAAACATCTTCCAAATCTTTTTACGGATTTTAAATTCTCGTATGACAACAATTGAAAAAGTATATTAAACTTCCCACGCCGGGAATCGAACCCGGGCCGCCTGGGTGAAAGCCAGGAATCCTAACCACTAGACCACATGGGATTGCTGTATGTCAACAAGGTTCCGCAATTGATAAAATTTCAAAAACCCATTCAAAACGTAAAATGAAGCAGTTAAATTTCATAAAACATCTTCCAAAATGTTTTACGGATTTTATATTCTCGTTTTACAACAATTGAAAAAGTATATTAAACTTCGCATGCCGGAAATCGAACCTGGGCCGCCTGGGTGAATGTCAGGAAGCCTAACCACTAGACCACATGGAATTCCTGTTTGACAACAAGGTTCCGCAATTGTTAGATCAAAAACCACATTTCAAAAGTAAAATTAAGCAGTTAAATTGCATAAAACATCTTCCAAAATTTTTTACTGATTTTATATTCTCGTACGACAACAATTGAAAAAGTATATTAAACTTCCCACGCCGGGAATCGAACCCGGGCCGCCTGGGTGAAAGCCAGGAATCCTAACCACTAGACCACATGGGATTGCTGTATGTAAACAAGGTTCCGCAATTGATAAAATTTCAAAAACCCCATTCAAAACGTAAAATGAAGCAGTTAAATTTCATAAAACATCTTCCAAAATGTTTTACGGATTTTATATTCTCGTTTTACAACAATTGAAAAAGTATATTAAACTTCGCATGCCGGGAATCGAACCTGGGCCGCCTGGGTGAATGTCAGGAAGCCTAACCACTAGACCACATGGAATTCCTGTTTGACAACAAGGTTCCGCAATTGTTAGAATGTCAAAAACCACATTTCAAAAAGTAAAATTAAGCAGTTAAATTGCATAAAACATCTTCCAAAATTTTTTACTGATTTTATATTCTCGTACGACAACAATTGAAAAAGTATATTAAACTTCCCACGCCGGGAATCGAACCCGGGCCGCCTGGGTGAAAGCCAGGAATCCTAACCACTAGACCACATGGGATTGCTGTATTGCAACAAGGTTCCGCAATAGATAAAATTTCAAAAACCACATTCAAAACGTAAAATTAAGCAGTTAAATTTCATAAAACATCTTCCAAAATGTTTTACGGATTTTATATTCTCGTTTGACAACAATTGAAAAAGTATATTAAACTTCCCATGCCGGGAATCGAACCCGGGCCGCCTGGGTGAAAGCCAGGAATCCCTAACCACTAGACCACATGGGATTGCTGTTGTCAACAAGGTTCCGCAATTGATAAATTTCAAAAACCACATTCAAAACGTAAAATTAAGCAGTTAAATTGCATAAAACATCTTCCAAAATGTTTTACGGATTTTATATTCTCGTTTGACAACAATGAAAAAGTATATTAAACTTCCCATGCCGGGAATCGAACCCGGGCCGCCTGGGTGAAAGCCAGGAATCCTAACCACTAGACCACATGGGATTGCTGCATGATAAAAGGTTCTGCAATTGTTAGAATTTCAAAAACCCATTCAAAACGTAAAATTAAGCAGTTAAATTTCATAAAACATCTTCCAAAATGTTTTACGGATTTTATATTCTCGTTTGACAACAATTGAAAAAGTATATTAAACTTCCCACGCCGGGAATCGAACCCGGGCCGCCTGGGTGAAAGCCAGGAATCCTAACCACTAGACCACATGGGATTGCTGTATTGACAACAAGGTTCCGCAATTGATAAAATTTCAAAAACCACATTCAAAACGTAAAATTAAGCAGTTAAATTGCATAAAACATCTTCCAAAATGTTTTACGGATTTTATATTCTCGTTTGACAACAATTGAAAAAGTATATTAAACTTCCCACGCCGGGAATCGAACCCGGGCCGCCTGTGAAAGCCAGGAATCCTAACCACTAGACCACATGGGATTGCTGTATTGTCAACAAGGTTCCGCAATTGATAAAATTTCAAAAACCACATTCAAAACGTAAAATTAAGCAGTTAAATTGCATAAAACATCTTCCAAAATTTTTACGGATTTTATATTCTCGTATGACAACAATTGAAAAAGTATATTAAACTTCCCACGCCGGGAATCGAACCCGGGCCGCCTGGGTGAAAGCCAGGAATCCTAACCACTAGACCACATGTGATTGCTGTTGTCAACAAGGTTCCGCAATTGATACAATTTCAAAAACCCCATTCAAAACGTAAAATTAAGCAGTTAAATTGCATAAAACATCTTCCAAAATGTTTTACGGATTTTATATTCTCGTTTGACAACAATTGAAAAAGTATATTAAACTTCCCACGCCGGGAATCGAACCCGGGCCGCCTGGGTGAAAGCCAGGAATCCTAACCACTAGACCACATGGGATTGCTGTATGTGTCAACAAGGTTCTGCAATTGATAAAATTTCAAAAACCCCATTCAAAACGTAAAATGAAGCAGTTAAATTTCATAAAACATCTTCCAAAATGTTTTACGGATTTTATATTCTCGTTTTACAACAATTGAAAAAGTATATTAAACTTCGCATGCCGGGAATCGAACCTGGGCCGCCTGGGTGAATGTCAGGAAGCCTAAACCACTAGACCACATGGAATTCCTGTTTGACAACAAGGTTCCGCAATTGTTAGAATGTCAAAAACCACATTTCAAAAAGTAAAATTAAGCAGTTAAATTGCATAAAACATCTTCCAAAATTTTTTACTGATTTTATATTCTCGTACGACAACAATTGAAAAAGTATATTAAACTTCCCACGCCGGGAATCGAACCCGGGCCGCCTGGGTGAAAGCCAGGAATCCTAACCACTAGACCACATGGGATTGCTGTATTGCAACAAGGTTCCGCAATAGATAAAATTTCAAAAACCACATTCAAAACGTAAAAAAACGTAAAATTAAGCAGTTAAATAGCATAAATCATCTTCCAAAATGTTTTACGGATTTTATATACTCGTTTGACAACAATTGAAAAAGTATATTAAACTTCCCATGCCGGGAATCGAACCCGGGCCGCCTGGGTGAAAGCCAGAAATCCTAACCACTAGACCACATGGGATTGCTGTATGTCAACAAAAGTTCTGCAATTGATAAAATTTCAAAAACCCATTCAAAACGTAAAATGAAGCAGTTAAATTTCATAAAACATCTTCCAAAATGTTTTACGGATTTTATATTCTCGTTTTACAACAATTGAAAAAGTATATTAAACTTCGCATGCCGGAAATCGAACCTGGGCCGCCTGGGTGAATGTCAGGAAGCCTAAACACTAGACCACATGGAATTCCTGTTTGACAACAAGGTTCCGCAATTGTTAGAATGTCAAAAACCACATTTCAAAAAGTAAAATTAAGCAGTTAAATTGCATAAAACATCTTCCAAAATTTTTTACTGATTTTATATTCTCGTACGACAACAATTGAAAAAGTATATTAAACTTCCCACGCCGGGAATCGAACCCGGGCCGCCTGGGTGAAAGCCAGGAATCCTAACCACTAGACCACATGGGATTGCTGTATTGCAACAAGGTTCCGCAATAGATAAAATTTCAAAAACCACATTCAAAACGTAAAAT